GGCGAGGCGGCCCGAGCCGCCGGGGCGCGGGGCTATGATGGTGCACTGTGCCGGCTGCGAGCGGCCCATCCTCGACCGCTTTCTGCTGAACGTGCTGGACCGCGCGTGGCACATCAAATGCGTTCAGTGCTGCGAGTGCAAGACCAACCTCTCGGAGAAGTGCTTCTCGCGCGAGGGCAAGCTCTATTGCAAGAATGACTTCTTCAGGTAAGGGGCCGCGCAGCCTGCGCGCCCAAGCTGCGCGCGCTCTGCTGGGGCGCTGGGGAAGGGGACCCACGAAACCCACCCCAGCCTCCCGGGCTCGGCAGCTCCAAAGGGGAGCGGGCAGCCCACTGCTCTCCTCCTGTCCTTGGTCAAGGAAAGGGCCTGAGGCCGAGAGGAGCTAAAAAGAAGCTGCTTCGCAGCCTCACGGTCGCTCCTCCGGGCGGGCTTGGATCGGAGGTGCGCGGCCGCGGGAAGCTCTGACAAACTTGCTCCCGACCCGTCTCTGCCCCTTCCCAGCGGCTGCAGCTCCAGGGTGGAAGCTTCAAGCCCGATTCTGAGAGAGAAAGGATTTTTGCAAAGTTGGGGGTGGCTGGAGGCTTCCCCCACCAGAAGGATTACCTTTGCCAAGAGGCTGTCATCCAGGCAGGGCAGCCGCGGCCCCAGAGCCCTCCAGGAGACACACAAACTTCCCAGAGGGGCTCGGCCAGGATTCCTCTGAAGTTGGGAGGAGGGAACCTTTGCCTCCTACCCCCTCACTCCAACTCCTGCAATATTTTCTCCCATGTTGAAAAGTACCAAGGAAATCCAAGCTGGGAATCAGGACCTCCCAGGTCTAGCCTGGGCTGTGTCACTCCCCTTGCTGGGCACAGGGGCCCTCAGGCAGGCCCAGGAGGCTCACTCCCCTGGGCCTCAGTTTCCCCAGCTGGGCAATGCCTAGGGGTGGCCTGGAAGGCTGTGGGGGTTTGGGCAGCTCAGCCCTGCCTGCTTCCACCCGCACAGAAAACCGGCTTTGTGAGTGCGAATTCCAGGCCCAGGGACGGGGGGTGGGTTGCGNTCCACCCGCACAGAAAACCGGCTTTGTGAGTGCGAATTCCAGGCCCAGGGAAGGGGGGGGGTTGCCATTAACACCCGGAGCCAGGCGGCTCAGCACTGGGGAATTTGAATAGGAGAAAATGTCAGCCTCCCCTTTACACGTGTAAACCACCCCCACCCCCACGCCCAGAGAACCCAGGCCCCTAATGTGGCTGGGACTGCAAAGCGCCTAATGATTTTTGATAAGGTGCATATGGCCAATTAGGCTGCCCGATAAAGCCAAAAGTGACTTATGGCTTCTAAGGCCCTCACTACATCAACGTCACCCAAATTCGCCCTGTTTAGAGACCTGGGTGTGAGTGGATATGGGGCCCCAAAGTCCTGGGCCCTGTCCCTCCCCCACCCCGCACCTCACCCGTTAGTGCAGGTCTGTGCCACCCATTTCGGAGGAGACCGGCCTCCTCCCAGGGCTCACAGAGGAAGGAAAGGATTTAGACCAGGAACGCGGGCAAGGGGGGATTTGAGCGACCCGTGTGCTGGCCGTGCAGGTGTTGGGTCACCCTTGGTCGTGTTTCCCCGCTGCCGGCCAGGGCCAGAGATGTTGGGGGACTGGAGACTCAGTCCCTGCTTCCCAGAGTCCACTGTTCTGAGGCCCTGCTGTCCACAGGCTCCTGGCTAGCTCTGGTGCGTCCCACAGCGGGGACTGGAAATTCTCCAGTGCTGGCGGCGCTGGGCCCCAGCGGACTGGAAAGGAGCCAGGAGGCAAGGACAAGTAGGGTCCAAATCCCGCCCGCCTGGCTTGAAAGCCTTCCTGACCTGGCGAGGCGAGGTTGCCTCGAGCACCCCAGATGGATGTGGGGGTCCGGGAGCATCCTGGGGTGCTCTGGGCCCTCTGCGTGGCTGAGGGCTGTGCCCATTGCTCTAAGCCAGCGGAGTCCAAATAAACCTGAATGAGGCATGACGGGCCGAAGAACGACCCAGGACATTTGTCTGGAATCTTGTGCTCCAGAGGGGGAGCACAGGGTCGAGGTCTCGTGTGACAGATGTGGAAGCGAAGGCTTCTCAGAAGCGAGGGAGGGTGGGCAGAGGCGGG